GAAGTCTGCCGCTGTCGGTGGTCAGCACCGGCCGCGGGAAACAGCATACACGCCGACGCGGCCGGTCGCCGTTGCAAACCTGACCCCGGCATCGCCAGCCTGACCTGCTGCCCGCACCCAAAAATATCCCCGACATGATCACACGCATCCCCACCTCGACGACCACGTATTACACGCTATTCCCCCACCGAGCCCGCCGCGGCAAGCAACGCTAGCTAGCTTTGCACACTGCACGTACGTGGCTGGCATGGAGCTCAGCGAGCACGAGGAGGACGCCGGCGACGTGGGCGGTGGCTGCTCATCCCCGCCCACGCCGCCTCACCGCGTGCTGACGTCGGCCGCCCCCGAGACGATCAGGTGCCGGTACCACGAGTGCCTCCGGAACCACGCGGCGGCCTCGGGCGGCCACGTCGTGGATGGCTGCGGCGAGTTCATGCCGGCGTCCACCGAGGAGCCGCTCGCCTGCGCGGCCTGCGGCTGCCACCGCAGCTTCCACCGCCGGGACCCTTCCCCGGGCCGCGCGGGCGCAGCACGGCTGCCGCAGCTGCACCTGCCGGCGTCCATCAACTCGCGCGCACCACCCGCGCTGCTGCTGCCGCCTGCAGCGGCCGCCAGCAAGCAAGGTTTGCCGTTCCCTGGCTACGGCACGCCCAGCGGCGGCACTGGCACCACGACCGCGTCCTCCAGCGACGAGCGGCTGCGGCCCTCGCCGGTGCAGCCACGGAGGCGGTCACGCACGACGTTCACGCGGGAGCAGAAGGAGCAGATGCTGGCGTTCGCGGAGCGCGTGGGGTGGAGGATCCAGCGGCAGGAGGAGGCGACGGTGGAGCACTTCTGCGCGCAGGTCGGCGTCCGGAGGCAAGCGCTCAAGGTGTGGATGCACAACAACAAGCATAGCTTCAAGCAGAAACAGCAGCAGGAGAACAGGCAGGAACAGCAGCAGTAGGCAGGATGCCATGTATGGGAGGAGACAAAGGTTCGATCGAAATGAGCGGGGAAGGTAGAGCCCCCCTCCTTCCTGCCATTTGATGTTCTTTTCCTATTCTTGTACTAATCAAATTATTATTCTTCTTCTGACCTTTTAATTACCGAATAATTGGTACGGTAGATGCAATATAGGTTGGATTAGATTCTTCTTCTTATAGATAGAAAAAAGTCCATTTTAAGACCAATAGGTGGGTTAGATTTTGGCATCCCGCGTTTGCGTAGCTGTGAGCTCTGATTCGTTACTGTCTTACACTGTTAGTATATTTTTGTAAGCCAAACAGATCAAAAAAAAATTGACCATTCAGAGCATGGATTACAATCAACTGCCATTAAAATCGAAAGGAATCTCATGCCAGTCAACTGAAGATAACTGTATACATATACACGGCTTTTTTCTCTGATTGGTAACTTGCGCTAGTGACAAAAGGCGGTAAAAGGGCTGGTCAAAAGTCAGAACTATGGCTGGATTAATGAAAATTCATTATCTAAAAAAAAGTCAGAACTATGGCCGTGATCAGCCTCTAAGCTGTATATCTGTGTGATGATGGTTCGAAAGATAAGGCAGTTTATTATATTTCTCGACGTTTTCCTTCTTTCTGGGAGGAGTTGTTCCATACTCCCTTCGTTTCACAATATAAGTTATTCTAGCATTTCTCACATTCATATTGATGTTAATGAATCTACACATATATATCTATTTAGATTCATTAACATCAATATAAATGTGAAAAATGTTAAAATGACTTATATTGTAAAGCGAAGGAAGTAACAAGAAAATTCAGCATCCAACATCGATGGCACACCAGTCACCATTCATTTCCGGTTGATTTTTTCCGTCCGGAATTAGGGTGGGTCAGGGAGGAAGAGATATGAAGGAAATGGTCTGATAGTAACCGGAGGTGCTGAACAATCTATCTATAGTTGGCATTTGCAATTTGTGCACTGGTGGGCGGCTGGGATTTACGTGCATGGCCGGACATCACATGGTACGTGTCCACATCTATCATCTATAAGCTTGATTGCAAAGATTTTGTTGATTTTGTTTGAAGAAATTGTGAGGTCCGTGTTGCGAAGGAGGAAAAGGTTGACAAGGATGTAATAAATGCGCTCAAAGAATTTAGCAGAACAGACAAGCTGAAAAAAACAAAAGGAAAAAAAAAGAAAACTTCAACGTCTAAGAGTAAGTTTAATAGTATAGCCAACTACTAACTTCGAATCATCTATAGCTAATTCATACAATAGTTACTTAGTACACTATTAATGTCTGGTCCCACCTGTCATACACACATTACGCTTTGGAGTCCGTGCTGCAGCTGGCTACAGATTTATAGCCCGCTACTCTTCTCTCTTCTTTTATCTTTTTAAAATATATTTATAACTGACTTGTAGCCTGCTATTGTACCTGCTCTAATAAAGATCTTGGGTATTCATTAACGCTTCATGGTGTAAGAAAAAACCATGTGGAGTCTAAAATAGATGAAGACAAACAAATATTACTATGCCATAGTATTATATGAATGTTTGGGCACTGCCATCAAAATTTATACGGTTTTTTTTAACCAAATACCCACTCACATTGGAATGCAATACTCTGAAATTTCATTCTGAAATCATGCTTCAAACTCATGTTTACAGCACCACGAATTCGTTAGTTAGCTTAATAGTCGATTCTAAAGCATGTCATTGAAGGTATTTATTTCTTAAGGCAGAACCTAACACATTTTAGTCACAGCTGCTCAAATGTGTACACTTAGGCTATGTTCGTTACTTGTGGTTGGGAGCAAATCCCTCCCGAAAAAAAAACGGAGCAATCCATTAGCACGTGATTAATTAAATATTAGTTTTTTTTCAAAAATAGATCAATTTGATTTTTTTAAGCAACTTTCGTATATAATTTTTTAAAAAAAATATCATTTAGCAGTTTGAAAAGAGGGGAGTGAGTTCCCAACCCTAGATGCCGAACTTAGCCTTAATTTGTAATTAGTAAAACTCCCGATAATCTTCCTGGTATCTCTTGGTACCATGAGTTACTAAAATTTTAATGTAAAATTTGATATATCATAGTATCTAGAAAATGTGGTATCTCATGGTACCTCCTTAAGAAATATAAAATTGCTCTTTAAATAAACACTTCCTAGTCAGTGCAATTTCTCGTAAAATGTAACATGTGGCTTAGCAAGCAAAAATATTTTTGCGCACCATCCCAGGTGCTTAAGATTGGTGGAGCTATGCTTGAGAGAGTCGTCTTTTACAAATGGTGACAGTATGAAGTGGTCAGCTATTTATATAGCTTGTGCGCCTGGACAAGGACACAGAAAGAATGTCTAGTAATGGTTAAGTAATCTACTACTCCCTTGATTCCAAAATATAACAACTTAAATCCGAATTAGACATAGTACTTCAAATCTGGATAAACCCCTATCCAACATTGTTTTTGCCTGTGATGACGTTTAATGCTGTTGAATGACTGTATTAGGTTTGTACTTCGCAGGCCCCAGAAAATCTGAACCTGGGAGAACAAAGTTGGATCCAATACCAGGATTGATCTGAACGCATTTGGTGTAAAGATTGCATATAACTACCATTGTCCACTATTGCAATTCACAACAATGACGACCAGAAAAGTATGTGTTTACAAGTTACCGTCTCATAGACGAAGAGATGGCATAAAGAGTTCGGAAGGAGGATACTCATGCAGGAAATTAGCATCAGCGAGATGATGTTATGATTATGATAACCAATCCTCAACTTCTTGTTGTCAGGTCTACTTCTTATTAACACGGGGCTTTCCTTTGACCTCAGATTCCTACACACGAAAATAATGACAAAACAAGAACCTATCAGAGAAGAATAACCAGACCAAGCATATATGTCTTCATCCAAGAAAAAACAACAAAGAGGATGGTATTAGCACATCGAAACTCAAGCAAATTTACAGTCTGTTTGAAAGTAAAGTGTAACTTGTCAGATAAAAATACAATTAGTTATTGCCCCAGGTCTTTTTTATGTCTATGTAACCACTTCAAATTGATCAAACAAACTAAAAATGTTATACATCACATAATAATTACTATAAGAGAACCAACCTGGACACTATGGAGAAAGATATTTGTTTTTGCAGTAGAAGGATTGTGCTTCTCGGCACCCTTGCTCCAATCATAGCATACCTAACACAGGTCAGCAAGACAAGTTGCGTGAGCAATTTAATTAAATTTCAGAACAATCTGAAGAATACAAAATCATTTATAGTTGATGTTCGAGCCAAATAGGAACTTATCTCCACACATGCTTTCTAACATCAAAAGTGCCATAGTTACAAGAAGTCAAACTTAGCATTTCTACTGTTCATTTATCAAAAAATATTCCAAAACATTTAAGACACATTAAATTACACTCTGCAATATGATGTATTAAATTGCTCCCTGCAATATGACGTATTAAATTGCATTCTGCAATATGACGTATTCCCCTAATCTGAAATACTCCCTACGTCCCAAATTATAAGGCGCGGTTTGACTTGGAACGGCCTTCAACATCAAACTTTGATTGCTAATTTCTCTGAAAGTATATTATCATCCATAGTGAAACTAAGGCCTTGTTTAGTTCCCAAAAACATCACATCGAATATTTGGACACATACATGGAGTATTAAATATAGATAAATTAACAGTTAGGGGGGAAATCGCGAGACGAATCTTTTGAGCCTAATTAGTCCATGATTAGCCATAAGTGCTACAGTAACCCACATGTGCTAATGACGAATTAATTAGGCTCAAAAGATTCGTCTCGCGGTTTCCATGCGAGTTATGAAATTAGTTTTTTCATTCGTGTCCGAAAACCCCTTCCGACATCCGGTCAAACGTCTGATCCCAAAAATTTTCTTTTCGCGAACTAAACAGGCCCTAAAATCATATGAAAGTACATCTGAAATTCTGAATATGAATCTAACAGTACCATATTAATATCACTAAACCTATATATTGTAACACCAATTAAAAGTCAAAATTTATGGTGTGAATTTTGAAATGTGTGCGTGCCTTATAACTTGGGGTGGAATGAGTACTATCACGTTAAGGTCTATGGTATTATATGCATCCCTCGCTCTTGGCTACTGCTGGTTGTAATGTTAATTATTGAGGTGAATGACAATCCAGGAGAAATAAATCTAGCAAAAGTATCAGAAGTAACAATGCATGTCTAACAATTCATTATGGTGCAGATGGCAAGAGATAGCCTACCGCATAAGCAAATATTGAGCCATCCTGATTGAATGTACTGCATGTGATGGGTGACGGACACTTATTGAAAGCCTGCAAAACAATAGAGTTAGGTATATCATGACACATTAATATGGGAATTGAGAAGTAAAGACTTGACAAAGGAAATTTTAATATAATGATTTTCTTCCTCATAGTGTAACTATTGTATGAACTACACTAAAGACTAATATGTTAACCATGAGCTTTAGCGCTTGCTGGCAATTCTTTTGCACTAAACAACACATTAAACAACCACAAAATAGGATAGCTGGATATGTCGCACCAGTGATATCGGCATGGCCAGTGAGGAAGGGAACCATACATCAACTCTTGTTCTGATGCCCGTCTGCTACCTTAATTTATAGCTGTTAGTTAAATTGAGTATGATTTATTCCTGTTAGTTATCTCATCTATTAGTTGAGTGTTAACTGTTAGCTGAATTACTAGGCTCTATCTAAGAAGAGACCATTACGTTAAAATTTCATCATTTCAAGAAGGGTAAAAACCAGAAACTTGCACCAGGATTGGTCTGAGTCTCTCAGGCACATACATGCTCAGTGAGTAAGGAACCCAGCTGTGGGACAAATAGCAAAAATATGTGTTATCCCATCTATTCCCACAAGTAAGCCAAACATGCCCATAACATGACTGCTTGGAACTAGAAGTTTCAGTGAATGGGGTTACTTAGTTTGTTTCTCAAAAGAAAATTAGCAGTTTCTGTTCGCTAACAGATAATGTGAGTGTGTAAATCATCAAAATAATTTGCAGTTCTCAGAACAAAGACCTCATTTTGTGATCGATCTGACCTTATCTCTACTACTTAGAATATCTCAGTAGACAAGTCTGGCGTTTGTATGATTTTTTACATAATGACGCTGTGCAGAGAAGTGCGTACATATAGGTCTGCTACTGGGTTGAGAAACAGTCCAAAACCGCTCTAACCCAGCTCCCTAGTGAAGCAGTGATCCAAAACAATCCACACTGCTCCCTCAACTCTAGAACCTAAACCAAACCAATCCAATCTATAACAGATTTTAACCATCCATCCAAGTTAAATGGACTCAATCCATTTTAAATCCATGGACTCAAACCATTTGCTGCTAACTAGTCGAGGTCCAGGCTGGAAGCTCATCTCTTCTACACCATAGACGTTACCGAGACGGACTGCCGCTGCCACCAAAGCCGACATCTCAGATCTCACATGCCGCCACCATCTGAGCTCGTACACCAGCTCTGCCAACCGCCGCGTACCAAGTGCAACAGTGTGTTCATTTTTGTGAGCTCTATATACTACTACCAACTTGTGTGAGCTCATTCTGCATGGAGCCTTCTTCAGTGTGCATCCAGATCCAGCCAGCGCGCTTCATGCCCAAGCTGTTCAGCCAGAGGAGCAAGAAGCAGAGAGTAGGAAAATGAGGTCCGAGCTGGGGGAGGGCAGTGACACCCTGCCAGAGCTCATCGTGGAGCCAATGGCGGCGTGGTCGATGTCCTTCATGGGGTCACACGAGTATCTGGCACTGGAGGTCATCAAGAGGGAAGGCCATGGCAGCGCCGTCGACTGGTGGATGTTTAGCTTCTTCCTGCACGAGCTCCTCTGCGGCAAGACACCGTTCAAGGGGTCAGGCGACCGCGCCGCTGTTCAACATGACCAGCCAGCAGCTGCGCTTCCCGGAGACCGCCGCCGGTGCACCCTCAACCCAGTGCCTACAGCGCCGGCCAAGTCACAGGTCACCGCAACGCAGGGATACAACTCTTCGATAGCCATGCGGTACGCACTCCGACTCCGGCTCCGGCTCACGCTAGTGAAGCATCGCGTGTACGACAAGTTGAATCCACTTTCACCCATGGGTTGAATCCATGGATCAAATCCAATTTGGGGCCACAAAACTGTAACCACAACCAACCCGCCCCAAACCTTTTCTTTAGTGCATCCAACCCGCTGCATTCACAGCATCAATCCATCCAAAGTCAATCCACATCATAGTTATTAAGACCGGACCGGAGAATGAACCGGTTGAGCTCTCGGTTCACTGGTCTGGTGGTTCGACCACTAGTTAGACCGGTCCAACCACGGTTCGATGTATAATATGATGTAAATTAGCGCATGCTGCTGTTCGAATCCCCACTCCTACACCCTTTTCTAGCGATTTTCAGTGGAGTTTGCTCAGTGGGCCTCGCCTCAGCCCATCACCAAAATCCCAACAGCTTATTACCCAGTCTGACCACTCCGGTTCAAAACTTGGTTTATATAAAAACTGCCCGGTTCAATAGGTTTTTCCCAGTTTAATTGCACAGCCGGTCTTTTAAGGGGGACCGGACCGGCCGAGGCCCTGGTTCCGGTTTTTCCCAATCAGACCGCCGGTCCAGTCCGGTACTAATAATTATGATCCACATAGGAAACCGACCCATTTAACACATTCCAACCCGTTCCACTAGCATGCCTACATACATAGATGGCCGATTAATTTCATTTATTTAGTTTTAGATCTGAAGATACTGATTTTCTCATTTGTAAGATTATAGTATATGGTATATATTATATTTATTTGAAAACCTCCACAGCGCACAGGCATTATCATGTCTATAGAATTGGCAATACAACTACATCACTCCCATGTTAGTTAAAAAGAAATACATAAAATAAATAGACATATGATGTGCAGTACCTTAAGCCTTTGCTTACTGTCCTTGTCCCAAAAGTTGAAACCTCCATCAGAGCCCGAAGTGGCAAAAGTATGGTGCACCTAGATGAAATGTGCAGTATAACAAACAAATCAACAAAAGTAGTTATTTCAAGAGAGCTGCTGATAATTTAATCCTGAGGCAATAGGCAAGTAATCAAATATTATATCCCACATAAAAAGTAATCAGTTATTATTATAATTCAAATGAACATCCACAATGACCATGTGTAATTTGCTTCTCCAGATTTAAAAATTTATGCATATTCAAATTCTTCCATCCAGTTGTCTCAGAAAAAATCCGTCAAGCTTAGGAAGCAAGTAACCAACAATTCAAAATATTAAATGAAATTACATTGAGCAAGGGATCTTACAGGGTGAAAGTTCAATGCGTTAACAGCGTATATGTCATTGCCATCACGGTGACATTTAAATGTAAAGTTTTTCCCTTGTTGACCATCATCAACATGATGAACACCAACTCGTCCTTCTATCGATCCAACCTTCAAATAAAACATAGGTTAATTAAGCATTTAAGCGCTCAAATGATCAGAAACAGTTGACCTTTTATAAGGTACACCAAACACAATTATGCAGTAAAGTCAAACAAAAAAGGCAAACAAAAGACAAAATAAAAGCAGCTGACGATGGATATAAAATGACCAAGATTGAGAAACAAAATATAATGGACTAAAGACAACAAAGAGGACTGCTAATGACTAAAATTGGAAGAATCACTAAGAAAGATAGGACATACCTGCTACACATAACAAGATCAGTTGTCATAAACAATTGTAAAATGGTGAATTTAGCAAGTATTTATTTCACTGTGCCAGAGAAAAACTGACTGATGATATAGCAACTGTCAATTTGACTGCTAAAAATTGAATGGCGACAAAATCAACACAGATTTACGGTATATCTAACTTCTAGGTACTTGCCAAAAACTTACTGCATTTATTTTTCTTATGCATAAAGAACAACTTATTGTTTCAACCTCCAAATATAGGCCATCTACACTGTAGTTGCATTTTACACCACCTTTCAAATTAAAAGGTTAATCCTTTTACACATATGTTAGACTAGAGGTCAGAAATGGTCACAGTTGAAGTTGGGTGCAAACTACCTAGTTTGACCCCTTTTTTTTATTTTTTAGTACAGAATTTAGGCATTAGTTAACTACTGAGATTGCAATTAGGATGTACATGGGAGCTAAAATTATTAGGAAGAAACATCGAACGGAACCCACATTTAGACCAAAGAGAAAACAAGGCATTACCAGAAACCCTTGCTGATCAGGAAATGCAGCAAGACACCTTGTCTGGAGTTTTAAAGGTGACACAATCCTCTTGAATTCAGCCTGTTGAAGCATCGGAAGCGTCAGTTGCAACTTGCAAATGACATTTAAAGTGTCCAGCGTTACAGTGATAAACACAGAAATTTGAACTGGTTGTAGAGAGGGGCACAGCTGTTACTGGCTAATTTACTCTTGTTAAAAAAAATCTAGAAATATCATTTCACCTAATAAACTTTTCACCTCCACTTCACACAAATTAAATATTGATCACATGAGGATAAAAGACCTAAAGCCTACACGATTGGAAATCTCTATATGATGACAGGGCATATAATATATTGCAACATTTAATTCTCCTATCCTTTAGCAACTGAGCAAAGGCAGAATAATTGCTCTCACTGATTTACATACCACAAAATTTACTTGATTCCCTGAAAGTAACTTGGTAAAACTACATACAATGAAACAATTTCATTTTCATGTAATAAAATATGCAGCAAAACTAAAGAAAAAGAGAAATAGACTTCAGAAGGTAAGAAAGTGTATCAAACATTAAACTATAATATAGAGGTAGTAGTTGAGTTAGAAGAAAGATGTGTGTAAACTACAAGAATTATGCATAAAGCTCACATTGACTATAAACTATGATAACTATTAAGTTGAGTAGGAAAACAGAACGTGCTAACATATATATAAATTATGGATAACAAAAAAAACTGAGCATATATGTCTCCTAAATCCTTACACATAACTAGGATAAAAGTATAGAACACAAACCACCACGAGAATTTAATATAAATTACCTGTGGATTCTGCATATTGAAGACTATTACATTTCGATCAGCAGTGCCAACCACCATGAGAGGATAACTAAGTGAGAGAGCATAACAGCGCTCAGGTAGTTGCTGAACATGTGCTGGCTGAGGTTGTCGAACATCCCAGTACCTTAATGAATTTGGTTATAAATCTGTTGTTAGACATTAGTTGCAAAAAATGATCATTCTCCTCATTGTGTTCACATGTATGTATGCGTTGGTGCAGAGGCCAGAAGTTATACTTCCATTGTCCAAAAAAAAAAAAAACATGCAGGTATACATTAGGAGAACAAAATTTGTGGTGCTTGAAAATAATTGTTCCCTGAACATTACATCAGAGGGAATACTCGATATCACAAACAGGAAACATCAGCATACATTAAGCGAGTTCAAATAAATGTAGTTTGCGCAAATTTCCTCACCTCAGAGTCTTGTCCCAGCTCCCACTAACAAGAAGGTTCATCTGTGGTATCCAGGCAAGCTCTTTGACCGGTGCTTCATGCCCTGATAAAACCATGGGCTGCCCACCGGAGAGCAGCGGCCACATCTTAATCTGTTTATCACAACCTCCCGAAAAAACAGTAGTCCCATCATCCTTCCATGCCGAGCACAGCACCTGCATGAAATCAACCAACTAGATGTCAATGCAGGGAAATACAGAGTGCAGAAATCGAAGATTCCACATCTATAACGAGCTAATGGGAGCAAACTATATGGAAGGGCCGCAGTACCGGCTGATCGTGCGAGATCGAGGCCTTCGCTTGGCATTGGCCTCCAGGCTGGATCTCCCAGCAACGAACCTGCAAAATTCCAACCGCAATCTCAGGATTCCACTAGCGGATTCGCCGAAACAAACAAAAATGTTTAAAAAATAAAAAACGAAGCGTCTAGGGCTCGAGCGACGGTGGGCGGGCGGGGCTCACCTGGTTGTCCCATGATGTGGCGACGAGGTGGTTCGCCTTGGGACTGAAGCTGAGGCTGGAAACCGAGTCCCCGGGCGCCGGATTCACCTGCAAGGAACGCGAACAAATCCATCAGAATCGAAACGAATCGAATCGAGACTCAGCCAGGGAGAGCCGTGCAGGCGAAGGGTGGCGGCGGCCGCGCGCGCGCGACGGCGCGAGGACGCACCTCGAGGGACTTGTTGGGGTTGTTGTTGGCGCCGCCGCCGCCGGCGGTAAAGCTCGCCATTGTGTTGGGCGGCGGGGAGTTTGGGAAATTTTGGGGAGCGAGGGGAGGGGAGGAGAGGGAAGCGGAGGAGGAGGCGGGGGTTTTGGGGAGGGTTTTGGTTTTAGGGGAAGGGGAATCGCGTGGGATGGACGCGGGACGCCACAAGCCCGGACGAGGCGGCCAAAGGCCGGGCCAGGTCGCGTGGAAGTGGGTAGAGATGGCAATGGGGCCCCACGACCCGAGACCCGATGGGTTTTTACTTCATTAGGAGTTCTTAACAGGCACAAAACATCATCCATGGGTGTGCTATCGGGCATAATTCTCACCCATCGGGTGGACCGGATCCAATAGCGTTCTATAGTCACCCGAACCCATTAATCCGTGGGTTAAAAACAACCGCATGGCCTAGCCCATGAGTGTAATTGGCCCAAGGCCCAACAAGGAAAAAAAACCCTAGCTATATAAGCTGTCCACCCAAGCAACACTAAGCTCCATTTCTCTCCCTCCTCTAAAGCCACACACAGTGGGAATGGGGATAGCGGCGGCGGGGGCGGGCCAGCGGCTCGCGTCATAGAGGCCGTGAGGTGCGCCAGCCTCGCGAACGCTGCCTCCTCCTCACGAGCCCCACTGCCATCGCTGCCGCGTGAGACGCTGTTCGCGAGCTCTGGGCCTCTTGTGCCGCTGCGGCCTCCTCCCGTGAGCGCCGCTATTGCTGGATCCATGCTTATCTGTGACCGTCGCCGCCGCCGCAGCTCTTGCGACCTGCGTCTCCCTGCTGCTCACCGAGACCATTGCTGCAGCATGCAAGCAGCAACACGTGCATCTCCACTCACTCGCCATCACCATCTCGCCCATTGGCCTACCTATTTCTGTTGTGCTTCTCCTGTTTGTGATGTTAATTGATTTGTTTCAGCCAAGTTTGATATGGCGGTTGGGTTCAATTGTCAAAGCCAAGTAGCTAACAATAGCTTATACTGTGATCTGGAATGATTTGCTAATACTGTGGTTGTATTTATGTCAATTGAGGTGTGATGTGCTCTCTTAACAGTGCCACTTTTTATGTATTATCATCTGACATGTTGATTTTGCAATGTGGCCATATGGTTTTCCTGGATCTGATTGTTGCACAATGTTTAACTACTGTAATGGTATGGGTACCCAACGGGTACCCATCACCCGCGTGGATATGGATATGGGGAAATTTCTCACCCGACAGCGGGTGTGGGTATTGAAATGGGCAAGTTCACTCTTCATGGGTGTGGGTACGGGGGAAGAGAACCCGATGGGTACACACCCGTTGCCATCTCGAGAAGTGGGATCGCGGGTGAATTTTTTTTAGAACCTTTCCAATTTTATTTTAAAAAAAAATTAAAAAACATATTTTCAAGACGTGAAACTTCTGACCATGGCTGGTGTGGCAAAACACATTACCACATTGATAGAGATGACGTGTCAATGTTGTCTTATCACGCCGGTCAAACTAACATGGCAGGACAAAAATATCATTTTGATTTTGAAAATAAATTTTGAAAGGGATTAGTTTTAAAATTAATAGGTTTAGAAAATTATAAAATTTCATCGCGGTTGTGCGAGAGAGTGTCGCCGCTTACACCCTTCCAAATCTAGCCACACCTCACGCAGTTCAATAGCGTAGAAGATAAAACTGTACCAGCTATCTAGCTGACCTCCTAGTTCATATGTCCGTTGGTCTGACTGGTTCAATTGAAAGGTTGTGACTAATGTGGTAAAGAGAAAGGCATGCTACAAGTATGGCTACAGACTAAATGGATGGCTACCTCGATCAAACTTAACTAACATGAAGTATGGTAATATGAGGCAAATTATGATGGGCAACCAAATATACCTATGTTTTTATGTTTTTCTTACAGCTAGGTGATAGCCCACTTGGTCACTGAGACATGCTTCATTTTTTTCACCCTTTTGGTGTTGTGTTATGTTACGTACTCCTTCTATAAAAAAACTAATTCTTGATTTGAATCTGGACATTCATTATGTCCACATTCAAATCTAGGATTGGTTTTTTTTAAAGAACGGATGGAGTATTTGAAACTGGTGAAATGTATGTTTAAAAGAATAAAGCTAATATGCTTTCTAAATAAGTTTAGATGTATTTGCTAAAAAAATATTAAGTTTTGAGGCACACAGGAATATCAAGAAAGGGAACTAGCCGCCACCATTTTTTATGGTGTGACTTTTTATATAATTGTCCTTTGGAGTTAGATAAAAAAATCGACATGCATAAGAGTTGACTCCACCATAGTATTCACCTAAGAAAAAAGATCAGGATTTCTCATTTGGCTAGCTAGGCCTTGGGTTTGGAGGACTTTAGACAAACTGTCCAAAAATGTCGACCCTCTTTTCGTTCTAGCTAAATTAAACATTGATAACTTTACAAAATAAGAGTTATGTCACAATTATAACCCCCCCCCCACCCACCACCCCACCCCCGCATAAAAAAAAGTCCAATCCTAAGTACAAATCTAGACACATGCGTGTATGTCTAGATTTATAATTAGAGTTTGCCTTTTTTTTTTGACAGAGTAGTTAGTAGTAAGTTTCTGATGTTTACACAATCTTTAGCAAAAAAGGAAAGAGAGAACCCATTTCAAGAACAAAAGAAAAACGAAGAAGATGGTAAATGCACGTTGTGTCTACAATATGCAAGACGAGCAGACGAGAATAGCGCATATATTATAGCGCCCTAAAACGTAAATATACACTAAAATATTTTCTAATTAAAGAAAATTTTAGCGAAAATTGGGTGACCATTTTTTTATCGGAAACATTTAGAAATTCGATTCAGTATTTACACTTCAAACTAATAGGTGTAGGAGTGTCATTCATTACCCCCAAATATGCTATTACACATATATTAATTACATTATTGCACGCGTGCATAAATTTACAAATAAGCACGCTCGCGGGAGATCGATTGATCAACGTAGTACAGAGTGCAGACTAGGATATTATTCATGCCGCATAGCTAGATCTTCAGGTGCAGTCGTTCAGATCGAGGTGCTTTCAGCCTGCACATTGTATACATATATAGTTGATATCAGCGATATGGATAAGAGATTCCCAATCTACAAGTTGATCAATGCATATATTGATGCATGCAAATCTAGTTGGCTAGCTACTTCAATTCACGATCTGTAATGTACGTAGCCATGGCTAATCAACAGTCCGGAGTGCAGCATCCGTGTACCACACAAGGGTCCGGTATTACCTGGTTTTTGATTTCCAAATTTACGTACGGCAGATAAAATTTAGATCAAACTTAACTTTTATAATTTTGACTAGTAATAACTTTAAAAATATATAATTTAAAAGCACTAGAGCAACATAGATTTGTCATACAAAGTAATATAACAAAAGTAAAAAAAATATTTATTGCATATATTTTACTAGAATAATTATTCAAAGATATATTTTAAAAACCGTCTCGTTGTTCAAAACGTCAAGAATTATAGAACTGGATGAAGTACTCATCTACCCATAAACATAAGGGTTTTAAATATTCTTGGCATATTTTAAGAAAGAAGATAAAAGGCTACAATGCAGTTAGGGTGGAACTTAGGTGAGGGGGTTCAGCGGTAAAATAGGTAGAAATTAAATAAATGGGTGATTGGGTAATACTCTAGAATTTAAGTCATGATATTTATGGGGAAATTTCAAACATCAGAAGTCTTTATTTGTAGGCAAAGAAGTACTCCTAAACAAAGCTTAATAAAATTGTAAGGTGAATTTATAAATCGTTTTGCCTAACTTTAGAAGGTTCTTCCCTAAAGCTAAACTAAACCTTGACTGGCCAATTGGCCATTCGCTACCAGATTCCAGAATTTTCTTGAGATGGATAGACCGCCAAGAACAACATCAAAACGGTCAATTTAATAAGTTTTGTCGACCAACCGATAAGAAATAACTGTAAAGGTAATATAACAAGTAAATTTGGCTGTCGGGATTTAACCCGTCAAGAAAATTAACGGGCCACCAAAAAAAAAAAAATCTTCATTCCTGTGGATTGTGGTGATTGCTGCAAACTTCGAAACATAGCAAAACAACGACTTGATCGATTAGTAAACTCCGGTGAACAACACGATCGAAATTAAGCGGCCGCGCGCGGTGGCCTTCTTTCCGATGCACTGACCTGCAATCGCGGGCTGGGGGCACCTGTACGCGGGGAAGGGCACCTTCCCGGTCTCGATGCGCTTGACGTCCTCCACGAGCAGGTCGTAGTAGAGCTTCACCTCGTCGGCGGACTTCCCCGCAACGGCGCGCGCGATGTTGTGCCACCGCTCCGGCGTGTCCCTGTCGTACACCGCCAGCGCCCGCTCGAACTGCTCGTTCTGCCTCGCCGTCCACTGCGGCGCCCTCGACGAGCTCACCGACATCGACGCCATCGAGTCTCACACAGCAAATTCTCTTTCTGAACTGGTTATCGATGTGTTTGCAGCGCTGATCAGCTCGTCAGCAGCAGCGCTACTTATAGCAGCCTGCCGGGCTGGAAGCCTGGAAGACGATGAGCTCTCTGCTAGCTAGATGCAGATTCTCTTGTGGGGTCAAAGCAGGGGAGAAAAGCTAAGCATCGAGAATAAAGGCACAATCTAACCGATCGAGCCACTGGAGACGGCCACTACATGAACGATGATGAGCTTTGCTGAGAATAAGGCATATAACTTAACCGATATATCGTCATGTTGAGCCAGTGACAAAGCTTTGCAAAAGAAAATTATTGGAAGAAAGATTTGTGTCGAACGCGGTGGATATATCATATATCTCTCTCACCTTTTTATCCCTTCGATCTATCTCCTCGAGCAAGATCTATCTATCGATCGATCGATAGTCATGGCACGTAAAGCTCATGGATATAGATCAGAAGGTTATTCCGCCGTGCGCGTTTGTCAACTGTGACATGCACGTATTCCGTCCTGCATCGCGCGCATTGGATTGGCGTGCGCTGCGTCTGGTCTCTGGGCGATACACCTCGCTGCTGCTCATGTGTGCAAACGGAGACCACACGCGCACTTGTCCCAGGGTCATTATTGACCTCTGCCCCTCTGCCACTATTCACAGGTGGAGTATGAGTACCCTATTCCCACGGACTTCTTCTTTCTGTCGTGGCTTTACATGGTGCACATCGGCTTGTGACAGGGTTTCGGTGCTTTCCTCTTTAATTAGAGGTATACTTTAGTGTAGTTTTCTTCAAAAACTTAATTTCTTCATTAGCATTGTTGTAACTTCTTTCCGATCTATTTGGTAACTTTATAATATTTAATGTTTAATTGATCCCTATTGTTCACTTTTTGATCATCTAGTTCAAACTGGTCAATTGACACTGCTAGTCAAGAGACGACCCTTCTTTCAATTCCACCCACAAAATAGCATCGAATATATTGTCACCTATATTGTTCATGGTACTCCCTTTTTATCGCAAATGCTTAATGATTTGGACATCTGACAAAAATTTTAACTTTAAGGTTTCGTCTGGCAAATGTGTCAGGGTTATGGATACCACATACCTAATAGTAGTTGACTAAATCTCGGCAAGACCCACCACATACCATGTCCTATACGGAAACAACCTGTGGATATATGAGGAGTTCCGGATAAGGAAAGACAACCAGAATTCTACATGGAAACGACAATGACTACTCGGATTGTATCCATATTGGTTCCCTAGTTCTACTTGGACAAGGGGACACATATGGGTATAAATACAAGCCCCCCTAGGAGGAGAGGGAGGAGATCAACACCCAACACAATCGACATAGAAGCCACAACATAGAAGCCTACATACGCCAAGACACGCCGCCGGATATTGACTTCAGGGATAAGCACGGCTAGTACCCTATGGTGTCTCCGGATATTGTCAGGAGAGACGAAAGCGCTATCTCTGATCTCGCCGGGCACGGATTCGAGGAGAAAGGCTACCCTGTTGTTGACTACGAGTCAGATCGTCAGACCGCCATGTCGACAACAGTTAGATAGGCTACCACAAATATTGTACTGGTGTGATTATCATGAATAAGAGCAATACCGGCTTCGGCCAACAGGATGTAGGGTTATTACCTGACAATTCAGGGGCCCGAACCTGTATAAAAATCCTCGTCTCCATCTCTTTTACCTCAGTCTTGCGTATACCCTAGTACCAACGATCCCCATGCCATGCAAATACTGTAGTCGAGACATCAAACGTCGATAAAATGAAATAGGGAAATAATATCCCACCCTCTAAAGGAAAATATTGTATCCTAGCCATCCATTCTTCACAACTCATTTAATCCTAGCTAGCCATTCATCTATTTCCCTTTCCTAATTCCATCTCAGAACCCACCCAAAAATCTATCACCAACCATTTAGCCATTCCTCTTTTGAATTCTCTTTCATAATCTCGTAAAATTATTATATTTTATATATCTATTCTGTACTGGAGAGAACTGCACTATAACTAATTAAGTACACTACGATTATAATTAACTTAATAACAACATATGCTTGTCGATTCCATAAGCATTAGGTGGAATCTTCGAACAGCAAGTTGTGGGACATTAGATTCCATCCAAAAAAAAGTGATCTCTTCACATATCAGAATAAATATCTTTTCTTTGATTTTTCAAACATAACAATATCATGCTGAAGGATCCATGAATGATTCTCCCTTGGGTTTTTGAGTATTTTATTTCCACTTTTCCATCAGCATTCTGAAACAGTACGCTGCTCTGAAAATAAGTTTACTTATTTGCACCTTTTTAAAGTATTAAAAAAAATTAAAGCAGCAAAGTACAGTGTAGCAAGTATAGCAATTGTTTTTTTTGGCATAATCATCAGTATAATTTAATCCAAAATATTTGGCTGAACGCGACCATGGCTCCATGAGCGCGGACACCATGGCCGGAGCACCAACGCCGGTGTTCAATGGCGGCGACGACCAGTGGCGAAAATGGGCATCGAAGGCCGAACAAGGAGGTGGAGGGGACATCGGTGGCACAGCGCCAGTCTTCGGATGGAGTGGATGCGGTGTTTGACGGGGAGGCGAATGCCAGGATTTGGGAAGAAAAGGGGAATGGCAGCGCGAGAGGAGGTGGCGGCCTCAATGATCACAGTGCGAGAGAGATAGAAAAAGGTGAGAGGGGGAAAATATAAAGAGGGGAGAGTATGACATGTTGGGTCTACTATTTTTTTTAAAAAAAATTGTTGAATGAATTGCTAGGTAGGAACAAAATCACCCTGGATTAAGTCGGGGTTATTTATCTAGTTTACATAGTTAAGAGTGTAAAATATATAGTATTTAAGTTTATGGGGTAATTTGATCGATTACAATAGTTTGGAGAGGTAATTCTAACTTTTTCCTTAATTACACGCTGACTGGAGATCGATCGTACAAATTAAGATTATTGTGAAATGCAAACTCTCCACTATTATATTTCACCATTCTTTCAGAATAAAGGAAATTAATAATGACACCTCTGCATGAGAATATGCATGAGTATCTCGAGGAGCATGCAGGAACGACAACAATACTATGTATAAATATGACCAGCACATATATTGGAACGTTGATTGCCAAAAGCTTGACACGGACAATCTACAATGGTTATCGTACCAATCAAACATCGGAATTATCATCCTGGATGCGTACATGGTACATACAAGCAAATTAATTAAGACGTACACTATCACACCCCCACCGCCCACACCATATCATGATTTCTCTAGTATAGTCCTAAAAAGCACCTACACTTCACTTCTAGAGTATCACTGTCGATAACTATAAAACAGACAGGGATAAAAGTATATACATGGACAAGTACGTGTCTCAACTCTCAAATCACGTGGTTTTTCAAGTAAAATACGCATACTGCGCTTTATTAATTAATTGGCTTCAAACTGACAACCTCTCCCTCTCTGCACAAACCTTTTCTCACCATCTTTGGATGCGAATTTTAACTAAAATTTCCTAAATCCTGGCGTTCGCCTCCCCGTCGAACAGCAGGATTAAGTTAACATGTTGCGCATAACCACATGTATTAAGGTCCCATTGTTTCATAAAACCACGCAGTTAAGTAAATTTTATTTGATCTACTATACATGCACATGAGATTCTAAACTTATGTACTAATTAAGTTGATGAGCTCGTTCAATCCATCATTTAAATGATGGTGCTATCCATGAAAGTTAGTTATTTTTTTATTTGCTAACATATTATGCTATAAATTAGTTAACAGTATAATTTTGTGAAGACCATGATAGCTGAGGTTATATGCTACATACCGAAATTATTGTGATTTTGTGCAAATCTAACCAAAAAACGTACCCGGGGTTCTACAAATTAATTTGCTCCATTCAATATAAATCTCACAAAACCCCATACATATATTATAAAAGTACGCCATATATTAAAACATATAATAGTCGCTTTGATGATTCCTAAGACAAAATTATTTTTATTGGATTAGTTGATAATTGAGCGCAAGGAGAAATACATCGACAGGCCAGTAGCAAACACTTGAAAGTGCATGCACCTACGATGACAAGGAACGGAATGCGCCTTTAATTGATTAATCGCCTTTCTACGACGTGATCGACGCTAGCTAGAGCTAGCGGCGGCCGGCCTGTGGCGTGGCGCCGTAGCCCAAGGAGAACGGCACGCCGCCGGCCTCAATCTGCTCGACATCCGCCTGGAGCCGCTCGTAGTGGCGGCGCACCTCCTCGGCGGACTTGGCGCCGCCCATGTAGCGGGCGACGTTGTGCCACCGGTCCGGGGCGTCGGTGTCGTACACCGCCAGGGCGCGCTCGAACTGCTTGTTCTGCTGCTTCGTCCACTCCGACGACGCCGCCGACGCCGACGACGAGGACGAGGCCTTGGAGCTGGATGCCATGTCTCGTCTTGAAACGGGCGAACGGGTCCTGATCTCCTGGAGAGAAGAGAGAGTTAATTGCTGCGGCTTGTGCGTAGAATGAAACGGATGGAGTGAAAATGGTTCCTGAGGTTAAAATCGCTCATGAGAGCTGAGTATATATAGGAGCAGTAAGGTTGATTTTGGACTCCTTTAGGAAACCTCAACGCGGAAAAAAAGAATCACCGCAGAAATCATGGGTGTGACGCGCGCTAGTTAATTACTATAAATCAGCCTGGTTTGAACCTTCCAATTGCATCGAACCAGGGCTGAATTAGTGTAATTTCCATAGTTTTGTTCTTTCTGCATGCTTTAAAATTCCATAAATTGAAGTGTTATTTCAATGGGTATTTAGGCCCGAGAGGACTATAGCACTAACTGCCTACTTACTATGGTTTACATTTTTTGTTGCAAACCGGTTGGTTTTCGTTAAAAAATCGAGAAACCAACAAACTCAGGCCGAGAATAGAAGCCAAAAAAAAATCGATGGGTTTCAAGCAAACTCAAATTTTAATAAACAAGTTATAAAATATAAAAATCCTCTAAATATTATTTTATTCATAGTGATTTATAGGCACGCAATAGTTCAAAAAATATTGAATTTTAATGTAGTTTTGAATTGGCCACTTGGAAAAAAAAAGGAGAAAATGTTTTTTTTTAAAAAAAAGGCCTTCATGGGCTAAAAGTCCATCACTTGGGCAGTTGGACCAATGTAGTCCATTTTATTTTTTTTTCCAAAGAGAAGATCCTTCCATTGAGGATTCATTCCTTAGTCACTCTCCAATCCTGTTGTTACAGTTCCATGTTGTTCATCCTACGACTTAAATTATGTTTTCAACCTTGCAACTTTATCTATATAACGGACTTTAAACTATATATTGATTATGGATGGAATTTCTACTATGTATGTAGATGTTAATAATTTCAAACTTCAAACTATATTGTTGAAATGTTAATGAGGCCAGTCACTGGTATATTTGGTAATGCAAATTAAATTGTCAACGATATGGGATTTAAATTGTTGTGCACATGAATACATATTGCATAGTCTTTTTCTAAATGTGAGGCTAGCAAAATTATGGAAAAGGTCATACCAAATCTGTTTATAAATTTCTAACACTTTTCCACATTTCTCCCCAAAGTGATATGCTTTATTTTGCATTTCCCCACCATCCTACATTTTCCCCCATAATCTTCTCCATCTCTTCGGTTCTCACAACCAATTTTCTAGTCAAAATTTTTGAGTATTTCACTTGTTTTTTTTTATGAATGTACAATGGAACTTGATAATTAAAACTTTGGTTTTTGAATTTTGTCGAAACCGTCATACTACCAGGGACCAGCTAGGGTGGTAATTTAAACCCGACTTCAAATTTAACACTGATTGCAACCGTCACTCTCTTTTTCGCTATTTGTTATATTGTTTCACGTTTTCTTTTTTACATATCGTCCTATGGTGTTAAAAATGTGACCAAAAAACATGTTCAAAACTGCAAAAGTTGGCTATACCAAAATTATATCATTAGACTTTCACAAAAAAATACTTTCATAACATTACGATTTTATTAAAAATATTTTCATGAAAACCAATAAAAGTGTAAAGTGGTCAATGCATGTATATCTTGGTGAAGGTGGAAGTTTTAAAAAGTTGAGTAAATTAAGACCATGGGGGTGTACCTTCTAGACATATTATTGAGATAATATTTACCACATCTTGTTTGTCTCACAATCTGTAGTTGATTCATCATTTACAACACCAAATTACCACTTGCTAGTATATATCTGACAAATTGTTTGTTTCATTATCACCAGCCATTCTGAATCATGCATCCTAAATCAAGAAACATATTTTTTTAACCTTGAGTTGCATGATATGTATTTTCTATTCTAGTATGCCAAAATAAAATAGGATTGGAGATGGAGTATCATCCTTGATTCCCTCATTTGACTTACCAAGACGAGAAAAAAAGGGTGGAATACATCTTTCTCCGATTGATGTGGTAGACTAGAATCCTCACAAAAAGTTGGATGCTCCAGATCCTGTGGCATCAGAAAATGTTTAATTGGTCTAGAGCCCCACAGAATAGCTAATTTTTTGGTCTTCCTGAGACAAGGGAGAAGGGTAAGAATCTAATCAATCTTGTGTATGCTAAGGATCTCAATCTTGGTAACGCAAAGAGTGGTGAAAGGTGCATGCCATAAGGGCAGATAGGTTACCTGAAGTGGGTGCGAGGTGTTAGCCTGATCAATCCATTTTAGTAACACAAATTTCACAAGAATTGGGAAAATTCATGATTATTGATTAACTATATGATCATCTAAATGGCCAATTATTTTTAGAATCATCAACAAATCTTTTGTAACAAAAAAAAAAGATACATGCGCGCGCATGCACGCACACACACATGCCACGCCCACGTAGAAATGCTTTAGCATGCGTCGGACATGGTAGGACTACCTAGTCTGTAAAATCAAATGTGTTTTTGGTTATTATTCTGTGATGAACAATTGGGCATTGGAGATTATTGGTTTTGTTATTTGGAATTTATTCACGAAGTGGTTTTGGAGATGATTGGATTTACAGGTGAATCGTAGGATCGTTATTTCATGTGACCGGTCAGACCGGGCAGTGTGTGCCGGTCAGACCGGCGTGTAATGCGCGGTCAGGCCGGCACAGCCCGCAGTCTGACCGGCCGACACTGTGTCGGTTTCGGTTTCGGGTTGTTTATTTGGATATCCGAGTTTATTTCATGATTATGGCTTCTAGATGGATACTATACGTATATAATACTATTGTTTGCTGCTAATGAGTCAAGTTGGAGATAGCTTGGTCTCGGAATATGGTTTCTTTGTTTGTTCCATGTGTAGGTGATTCGATGTCTCGGGAGAGTATTTGCGGTGATGGACCGGGAGTCGGCTTGGGGATAAGACGACGTCCGTGGTGGTCAGAGATCATGCGGGATACTTAGGCTAGAGTTGATGCACGTGGTTGATGGAGATTCCATATGGCATACGATGGAGGTATTGTGTGCGTATGGGATGCGGAGTCGAATTTGGAAGGAGTCCAAATTTGGTACGATTGGTTATGTAAAGTTTCTTTCTTGTACTAGAGGGTTTCCTAAGGTGTTTAGGACTCTTAGTATGAGTTTGGTTCGTGGCTTTAGGCTGCCTACCTCATGTATAAATAGAGGGGGAGCGTGAGGCTTCCCGGTATCGCTTTAGAGAGCAATTGAGTTGAGTTTAGAGTTAGGGTTTCGAGTTTAGTCGAAATTTTTGTAAGGAGTGCTGTTGGTGCACTTTGTAAACACAGAGAGAATCAATAAAGTCGTCATCTACTTTAATAGTTCTTCGATTTGTGTTTCACCGGGTTTCGGCGGTCTAACCGGCGATCTACCGGCGGTCAGACCGGCGGGAGCACGGCGGTCAGACCGGAGGCGGCGACAGGCGCGGTGAGTAGCTTCAGCGGTCAGACCGGTTGATCTATACCGATCAGACCGACGGCATCCGAGCGGTCAGACCGGCAAGGCAACTTCGGTCAGACCGATCTCCGTCGATTTCAAGGGTAACTTTTATTTCCGCTAAAAGTTTTCGGTTTTTGGGTATAGCAACCATTCACCCACATCTGGTTGGCTTAGTTCTTGTGATTCGATCCTACATAGTCTAGAATTCACTACTACAAAAGTGATTTTTCTGTATGAGACCCCATGATTTTTGCAAACGGACCATAACTAGTGGCGTTTGCAAAAATCGAGAGTCATTTTCCCATACGGCTGCTTAAGTGGCCCGTATGGAAAAATCGATTTTTCCCATACGGGCCTCTTAAGAGGGCCGCATGCAAAAATGAGCTCATTTTTGTATGCGGCTCACTTAAGTGCCCGTATGGGAAAATCGATTTTTCCATACGGACCACTTAAGAAGCCGTATGCGAAAATAAAATTTGAAAATTTTGAAACTAATATATCTCACTCATATGAACTCTAAATTGGATGATTTTTTTCCCTAAATGTTTCTAAAATCATACTCTATCATGTTATTTTGGCTATTTTTTCTTGTGACTTTGTTTTATCAATTACAAATTTGAACTTCAAAACTTCAAATAATATTTTGAAGTAGTAAATGATTTCATCTGAAAAAGTCATCAATAACAAAGTTGTATAACTCATCAAGATCTATAACTTTTATTTTGGTTATTTCTTCATCCGACAAAGTGATTTGCAAGATTGTTCACAAAATGTATATCTCTTATATAGTTTTATAAAACAGTCGATTCAGCAAAGATCATTTTTCTAGTAGTGAGCTGAATTCAAAAAGAAATCGTGAAAACCACGGCATGGCAAATTAATTCTATCTATTAAGTCAATATTTAGTAACTTCCTTTTTATCTTTAAGAAGCTTTATATTTAGTAACTTCTTAAAGATTTGGACTTGTATTTTTCTTTTTTATCTTTAGGAAACATGTCCCGTGTCTAATCGGGACTTATATCAACTAAGGGTATAAATATGTACACCTGGGTCTTTTTAAACTATCTCCATAGATCAATACAATTACTATTGGCTCCATTTGTTTATATATAATGCTATTACAGGAGGAGCATGTCACTACACTCTTATAATTAGTAGCTAAGGGTTTTTTATTCCACTCTAGGTAGGGTAGTTTCATTAAAATTGTAGGCTAAAATATATGTGATTTAACACCAATCAATTAATAATAAGAGAGTTGGGAGTTTATGCATCACGTTATGTTTGGTTTTTTCTTTTGTTGAATAAACTTATGGCTATGTGAAGATAAAAAAAAACTTATGGCTATATGTGTTATGAAGAAACCAGAGATATAAATTATTTCCATTATCTAAGAAAAAATCACCTCGGTTTGTACAAAGTTTTTTTTTCCATGAGCAAAATGATAGCGTAGATTTGAAGTGCAATAATACACGCTAACCATATACTAAAATCTCCCTCAGAACTTATTACATACTAAAGTCTCCATCGGAACAGGAGGCTGTTTGTAAAAAGTATTTGCAAAAGAAAAAAAACCTGACCATCAGTCGTAGCCCTTAATTTGGTGATCTATTCAGATTAGGGTGTGGATAAAAGCTCTTTAAAAATAAATATGATATATAGTAATTCGCAAAAATATAAATTGAACTAATATATATTTTGACAATTAGTTTGTACATAACCTTCAACATTATGGTTGATACATAGTGAAATCCTGTGTTTTAAGCTTACATATCCACTATAACAGAATTGACAACGATATACAAGTATACAACTAATCATATCTTTGTTTATTATTTTAAAAACACTTTTCTCTAATTAAACTACGATCATATCGATTGTTTTTTTTTTTGACAGAGAGTAGCAGTGAAATCCAGACAAATTAATCACAGTAAATGACTACCAGAAGAATATATGCAATCCGACAAGGTCTAGCAGGCTGCCGTCATCGATCTTTTATTCACTTTATCGTCAGGAAAGAATATCAAGTTACCCGCATTATTATTGTTCGTGTTCATTCGTGTGTCGGCCATGACGTACCTGCTTTTGCATACATCTTGTGGTGACCTTGTTCTACCATCAGCCGGAAATGCTTCACGACCTTATGCATATCGCACGCACACAAGATTCAATCTTGGTGGGATGAGAACCAGTGCTGCAAAAAGATTGATCCCGGGACGACACATATCCTCCAAATAATTTAGTTTTTTTTTCAGATTCAGTAAAGTTGTAGTTGCAGAATTAAAAGAAAATTAAACTAGAAACCAAAATATCAGCGTCTCTAAATTCCTATGAGCTGAATTCCCACTATCTACTTAGAATTAATGCAAAGATCTCTCGAACACGCCTTATATTACCTTGTAAGGTTTTAACCAAACTTACTAACAAGAAGTGAGTGTAGCTCAACCCTTTCTTTAAGAGAAGGGTATTTTTTTACCCTGTCTCTACTTCCAACCGGATATATGCAACTTTTTAAATCAGGAAATTAGCCGCTCAAACAATTCAATTTGAAATTTGCTCTTATAAAAAGATTTGAACTCAACTAATTATTGAAAGAACAAAATCATAAATATGATTCATATTTATGATTTTGTTCTTTCAATTATAAGTGACGTAACCATCGATAGTGAGAGTGCGAGACACATGTGATGATTTCGTTAATTTTTTTTAATGTCCTAAATGTGGCTTCATAGGAATGAATGTGCACGCTCGGTGAAAGCTCTTTGTGTTTGTATGGTTTTTTTTTTAAAAAAAAGAATTTTACCATAGTTGGTTTGCTAACAGAGACTTCGGTTTGATCACGACATGGTTTTCAATCCCTATCAGTAAGTATGGCCTTCACTCTTCAGAGTTCAGAGAAACGAATACCGTACCGCATTTTCAACTGCTAGCTTTCCTTTTCGCGAACACACAATTACTAGCTCTTTCACGCGGAAGAATCTCTTCATGGAAGCCAGGAGCTGAGACAACAAGATTCTCCACTCTAGATTCGATAAGAAGAAGAGGAGGAAGAATCAATGGCAGAAAAGCAGCACTACTTTCCAGCGGTCGAGTGCTTATCTACAATTCTGCACATAACCGGCAGGTAAAGAACAGATTCTCCGCGCGTGGCTAAAGCTACGACCTCGGCAGCTTGGATTTGGAATCACTCGCTTGGGAAGCAAAATCGCACGACAAGCTGAGGTAGCACGCGGTTTGACGTTTCTTCATGACGAAGTTTTTTTTGTCTTTCAGTGGAGATCCTGATGCTGTTTGGGCCAAGGCCGTCGGGCCGGTTTTGTCTCCTCCGGTTAGCCGGCGGCGAAAGCCTCCGCGACCACCGACGGTTTGTTAATACCTGCCCTAATTATTGTGCTAATCATGGAACATCGCGCATGGTAATTCTCGGTTAATCCTTTTGTTTTGCTTGCCCTCGCTTGATTCGATGCGTAATACTCGTAGTTGATTCGTATGAACAAGCGCACATGGGAGGAAGACATGTATACATCTTAGTTAATTAAAGACCATGGATAATTGCATACGGTTTATGTTCTTCATCGAAGGTATACGTGCTAATAGTAATCTCCTCTAATGTATTTCTTCAATTGTTTTACTTCTTGGTGCTGCTGGTCCACGATTGTCTTGACAACGTCACCGATGGTAATCATGCCGACTACCTTCTCATCAAAAACAGGAACATGGCGAATATGCCTCTCTGTTAATGCAGAGGGAAATAGACAAATCAACTCCAGAATTACGACCATTATGCGTGGAGAGATGTGATACAGTCATTGAAGTGAAACTCTTTATGAAAGAATCTTTCATTACCTGTCATTAGCTCCATTGCCTGCAGAATATTGGTATTGCTCGACACTGTTATTAGCTTGTCCTGCAACAAAACAATGAAAATCATCCGGGTTAAGGAGCAATGAAATATCATGCCTTGTCTGTTAAAATTGTTTCCCATCTTCAGAATTCATTCACCTCTTCTGTCATAATGTCTCCAACTCTTGTTTCTTCTGAAGGCCGTCCTGGTAAAAGGATCTTCCTAGCGAAATCTGTATCATATGATGATTTATTTTAGCAAAGTTGTGTTTATGCGCTTTGCCCTTCAAACCATTTTGTAGAACAGAATGTTTTGTGATTTTTCCTGGATTTTTCAGCCGTGTTTATCTTTTTCATGTATTTAAAGCTACGAAAATCACATCATGTCCGCGATAAACTCAAAATTGACGCAACTTTTATGCAGAACATCTTGTTATGGCCATAGATCCTTTATTTATATTGCTAACTTTCTCTCTTGTTATTTTATTTTACTTTCAGAAAAGGGGGAACAGCAGAAAGCTTATTTGTTAAAGGAACGGTTGAAACTAATTATCACAAACAAATTTCCATACAGTCAAATTCAATTCTGTACTACAAGATGGAAGGTTAGATTATTTTAATACTCACTCCGTTTCATATTATAAATCATTTGAATTTTTTCTTAATTAAACTTAAAAAAGTTTAACCAAGTTTATAAAAAATATACTAATATTTTCAATACAAAACAAACATATTATCAAAATATACTCAATATTAATTTAATAAAACTAATTTAGTGATGTAAATATTACTATTTTTTCAATAAATTTGGTCAAATCTAAGAACTTTGACTAATAAAAAAGTCAAACGACTTATAATATGAAATTGATGGATTAGTAGTTTTTTTCTAAAGGATTTTAATGCCAGTTGACCAAGCCCCCAGTTTGGATTTAGAAGCTTAGCTTTATCGATTATAAATTCAAGGCTCAACTGCTGATTTCATCTTACCTCTCTCAGTTACGATTCCTGCCAGCTGCTTCTCATCCCCAGACTTGAGCACCACCAGAGCTCCGACATTATGGGCTGTCATCTACAAATTTCAACATGATCTTTAGTCACTTGGTATAGTTTTGTTATGTTCCAACTGCAGGATACACTTACATGCTTGATGGCTTCATGTACAAAATGACTGGTGCAGCACCAGTAGACGGCTCCAGCTTTAGCCTCCCCTTTCGCATTCAGAATCTCTCTGACTCTGATGTTCTCTAGTCCAATGTGAGGAATAATTACAGTCGGAGATTCAGTTTGTATGCGCGAAATCAGGGTCGCCCATGAGAAGATCCCCTTGTTCATATGTTGTAAAACCGTGAGCTTAAGTTGCTTCCCATGGAAGCGTAGTGCTTTTGTAATTCCTTGCATCTTTAATCTGCTGGAATGACATGATGGATGGTTAACAGAGCTTGTTTTGGGTTGATGACCTGACATCAATTCCTCATATAGATATTGTTTCTTTGAAGTGCCATCTGTACTGAAACACTAAGATTGAACACTGCCTTGTCCAATTTATATAACAAACTGTTTTCTGTAGCAAAGCTGAGATTTTCCCAAGGTATTTTCTAATTAAGTTGGCATCTTTTCTTCAAGCATGACAAGCTATGGAGCTTCTTTTTATTTCAGCAGGCACCAAAATGTACATAGCAACAAGAAAATGGGTTCAGAACATCGTCATCATACCTTAACAATTCCTGGAGCAAATGCTGCAGTCCTGCACTCGTTCTTCTGCCTATTCCTGGCTCGAATTGATCGGTGAAGACGACGAGCTCTCCTTGTGGGAGTTTAAGAACGGGATTCAGAGCTACTTTGCCTCTTATCCCATGCAAATCCATCACCAAGCCGACACACAAGGAACTGTACTTAACTTTCTTGTTTCGAGCAACGCAAGGAATCCCAGGTGGCTTCCGTACCAGGCAGGAGGAAGGTTTCCTCAAATTCCTTTCAGCGTCGTGCCTTCTTTTTATGCATTGTTTTCTCTTCAGTTTCATGTTCAGAGTTCAGAGCCACAGCCAGATAATGGTACACGTACAACTGTTAGGAGTATGAACAATATTTCATTGTCCAGATTTTAGCAGGATGCAAAATTCACAAGAAAACTAATGATATAGTACTAAAAGGTAGTAAAAGTTTTATTCATGGACCTAATGTAATTAGAAATATAGTGGAAAAATATTTCATCCCTCGAGAGAAAATCCCCTGTTTCTTACATGTCAACTAAATAGTCATTAAAAAATTGATACTCCATCCGTTTCATATTATAATTCATTCGATTTTTTTCTTAGTCAAAATTCTTTAGGTTTGACCAACTTTATATAAAAAAATTAGCAATATTTATAATACCAAATTGTTTAGGCCATGTTTGATTCAGCTTAGGATTATTATAATCTGGATTATTAGAGGTAAGCTGAAACAAATAGATAACTTATTATGATAGATTTCTGTAATCTGATAAGCCACTTTAAAGGTGCTTTTTTTAGATTATTATTGGGTGGCTTGGCTAACAACTAACAAACAGATAATAATCCAGAGAAACAAATAGCCAGTAGCTTATTCTACATCGGCTTATTATAATCCAGCTTATAGTAATCTAGTTATATAATCTAGATTACAATAATCTTAAGCTAAAACAAATAGGGCCTAAGGTATGTTTATAGATGATGAGGTGGCATGTTTATATGTTGAGTTTTAGAATTAGCAGATTATAACTTTATACTAAGATAGGATATAGGGAGCGCTAATGCACGATCACCCACACGTTGCGCCCTCCCTCCTTCCAACCTACACCGTAGGTAGTAGTACGTATATACATACGTATAGTACGTTTATGTACATACAAAGTATACACACATAGATATAGGTACCGTACAAACTTTGTATAATACGCACGTATACAAATTTTATATACATAAACTTTATATATATGATGCCTATATGTAAAGTTTTCTATACATATATATACAAACTTTATACACATGGGCTGAATAGGAGGCATGCTAAAAAAGGAAAAAAATCTGATTCGGCCTAGGTGAATGACTTGAGCCGGCCTACTAAATAATAAAGCCCATAAAAATTATTAAAAAAAGGAAAAAGTACACCCAAGATCCCTCAACTTATCATCGAGATACAAAATAGTCCTTAAACCACAAAACCAGATATCCCGCGTCTCTTAACTAATTAAAACCGGTCACAAAAGGTCGTTCGGCGGTTTTGACTCCAGTTTTATCCTACATGGCTGCTGAGTCAGCGTGGAACCACGTAGACCCCACATGTTAGGGTAATCCACGTCAGCCTCCTCTCTCTTTCTTCTCTTTCCCCTCTTCTCTCCCTTACTCATCTCTCTCTCACTAATTTGCAAGCTAGCCGGGCGAGGGGGAGAGGAGGAGGGCGGCGCCGCGACGTTGACGGCGGCAGCGGCCGTAGTGGGGAAGCACGGCGGAGGCGCGGGGAGGCCGGCGTCGGCATCGCCCTGTCGGCGGTGGCGGCGGCAGCCGCAGTGGGGAAGCCGATGGTCGTAGCCGGAGGCGGCGAGGGGGGAGGAGTTGTCGGCCGTGTCGGCTTTGGAGGAGGAGCGCTTGCGGTCGGGTCGGGGACGGCGGCGGCGAGGGAGCACGGAAGGCGGAGGGTGAGGGCGGTGTCCTCGAAGTCGAGCCCCGACGCCGCGGACGACTCCGTGGAGCTCCACTCCGTCTCCTTCGACGCGGCGGGGAGGAGGGCCGGCGTGGCCGGCGGCTGACGGGGAACGAGCGCGGCGGAGAGGAGGGCCGTGCGGCGCCATTGTCGTGGCCGCGCTCTTCTGGCAATACGGCTGCGCTCAGGTTGCTGATCGACGGAGTGGCACTGCAGTGGCAAAACAAGGAGATGCGAATGAATTAAGCTACGGCGTGTTTTACGCTATAGAAGGCCGGAGAAGGCCGTCGTGATGCCACCCTGCTGGAGCGCGCCGAAGAACGCCGGAGCCACTGTCGACATCCCCAAACATCACGCATGGCGCATCAGATACTGCTCCAACCGGTCGATTCGCTACCGCCGCTGCTTGTCATTGTCAAGGCGCAGCTAGTGTTTAACTTGCTCGGCTAGGACAGTGAGCCGATGCTGTTGAGCACCACGGCAACAAGCTAGCAGATGTATGCTAATTAAGCTAATTCTTTATATGTTGTGGCAACGTGGCCGACCAACCGGAGGACGACACATCATCACCATGCTACAGTGCCGGAGGGCGAGGCGACCGGTGGGGCAAGGCGAGAGAGGCGCCCGACGCCGGCCGACCTGGAGAGCACGGCACGACTGGAGAGTCTCCTCCGCGAGGAGGGCCTGTATGAGAGCGCCGAGGAGACGGCGGCCCGGTGCTCCCCGACGGCATGGCCGACCAGGCCACCGCCCTGGTGCTCTCCTTCGGCTCCTACCACCTCGGCGTCCACAGCCGCGGCTCCGACATCGATGTGCTCGTCGTCGGCCCATCCTACGTCGACCGCGACTTCTTCGGCGCGCTTGCCGCCGCGCTGGCGGAGACGGCGGCTGTCGCCGAGCTCCAGCCTCCAGCCCGTGCCCGGCGCGCACGTGCCAGTGATCAAGACGAGGTTCCACGGCGTGCAGGTGGACCTCGTGTACGCTGGCGCGTAGGGAGGAGACCTCGGTGGACTCGGGCGGCGAGGGCGAGCGGCACGTACGGGCGCCGGGACGCGGCCGGCAAGGGCGAGCGCCACGGCCAGGACTCGGCCGGCGGCGCTCCCGCGATGGACCTGCGGTCGCCGCTGCCGCCGCGTCGCCGGCCGCCAGTTCTCCTCTCCCGCCGATCTCCTCCCCACCCGTCGCACGCCATGCCCAGAGAGAAGAGTGAGAGAGAGAGAGATGAGGAAGGGAGAGAAGAGGGAAAAAGAGAGCTGACGTGGATGTCTGACATGTGGGGCCCACGTGGATCCCACGCTGATTCAGCCGCCACGTCGGATAAAATCGGGTCAAAACCACCAAAGGACCTAAAGTAAACGGTTTTGTAAGTTGAGGGATGTTACATATCTGGTTGGTTTTGTGGTTGGGGGATGATCTTATATCTCGATGACTGAGGGACCTTCGGTGTACTTTTCTCTTAAAAAATTCTGAAAACGAGTGGGCCAAATTTAGTAACGGGCCGAACTAGTCACGCGTGCTGGCCACACGTGTCTAGCCGCCCATTAGCCTTTTCAATTTAGGCCCGTACTTCTAGGCCCATTTAGTATTTCTTCTGTTCAGCTGTCCTCCGTTCCTCCTTACCATGCACCATGTGAAACTGGTCTTGGGCATGAAATTAAGGGGAACGTAATTCGTGAAGATGGCTTATGGCAACAGAACAAAGCAAGGCTCTCTTTGACTTTATCAGAGTTCCCGTAGTATCTAAACTGCACTCCACCGCACATAGACCGGACGTATGCTCTACACTGGCGGCTGCCATTGTGTACAATTAACTGCAAAAACTGTTCCATCTATCCCGTATAGCAGAAAGCCAGTAACTAATCAAGCGATCCACTGGACTGAACATGCAACCATTTGGCAAGAGCTGCACGTCGCAGCAATTAATTAAAGAACGCAGTTTTTTTTCTCCGAAACAAGAAACAGAAAAAAGCAAATATGCACATGAGTCGTACGTTACAATGTCTCCAGCGTCACAAGCAAGCGGTCCTTCAATTCTCCCTACCTAGGAAATTTCCCCCTTTTGCAGCAGTTGCGCGTATCATGCACCAATACATCAGGGCGGAATGTACCTCCACCTGCCTGCCCATCGGTGTCGTCGTTCAGACGCGACACGTATAGTGAACCCTCAAAGCGTACAGTGAGTTCGCCACGCTAGCTACTTCCCGCAGTTTGTGTATGCGGTGCAACTACGCTTAATTTGCACGATGCCAAGTTAATTAGACAACCAGCTCACGTAACGGGACACTGCACTGCACGCGCGCATGAAAGTTTGCAGCTAGCGCGCGGTTGACAAAAAAACCATCATAAAAGTCAGTCTTATTCAGTGCGCACATATATAAACTGCACCGAATGGCGCGAAAGCGATCGACTTTGCCTTGAGCTCGAATCATCTGGTCTGGAGTACATGCCGATGCCGTTATATGGGGTGGTCAACTCGCCGTGCCGCAGCCACTGCAGGGCCGCGGCAACGTTGTTGGTCTCGGTGTCCCTGCTCTGCTCTTGCTTCGCCATCGCCATGCCGAGCGTCGTCGTCACGGTCGACCAGTCCGGCAAGGGCGACCACCGGAGGATCCAGGACGCGATCGATGCCGCCCCGGCAAACGACTCCTCCCGCACCGTCATCCGGATCAAGCCCGGGGTTTACAGGCGAGTAGGCAACCAGTGAGAGAGCGAGCGATCAGCGAGCGAGCAGTTGATTCGCACGTCAATGGCGTTTTGACACGGGGTGTGTTGGGTTTCGTTATGCAGGGAGAAGGTCGTGGTGGACAAGCCGTACGTGACGCTGACCGGCACGAGCGCGACCTCGACGGTGATCGCCTGGAACGAGTCGTGGGTCTCCGACGAGTCCCCCACCGTGTCCGTGCTGGCCTCCGACTTCGTCGCCAAGCGCCTGACGTTTCAGGTGCTTTTAATTTCCCCCGAGCTGAGTAAATGTACTGCATTTAGTACTATCCAGGGGATGCGTTTCGCATGGCATCTGCGAGTTCATTACTTTTTGTCCAGTGTTGTGGCTGTTTAATTTGGTCCGTGCGTGCGTGCGTGCGTACGTGCTGCAGAACACGTTCGGGGACAGCGCGCCGGCGGTGGCGGTGAGGGTCGCCGGAGACAGGGCGGCGTTCTACGGGTGCAGGTTCGTGTCGTTCCAGGACACGCTCCTCGACGAGACGGGGCGGCACTACTACCGCGGCTGCTACGTGCAGGGCGCCACCGACTTCATATTCGGAAACGGCCGGGCTCTGTTTGACGTATGTGCATCTCTCCTTTACTTATTTCACCCTACACGTAATTAATCACTCTCCACCCGTACGAAAAAGGTCCGCTCGGTGGCTGACAGGTAGGCCCCAGGATCGCCTAAGACATGGGGCCCACAAGTCAGCGTTGACTGCCTCGGCCCAGTTTAGTTTAGTCAGCCTATATAAAACGCACGAACGACTAACTAATCTGGCGACAGAAATGCCACCTGCACTCCACGTCGCCCGACGGCGCCGGCGGGGCGTTCACGGCGCAGCAGCGGTCGTCGGAATCGGAGGAGACGGGGTACAGCTTCGTGGGGTGCAAGCTGACCGGCCTCGGCGCCGGCACCTCCATCCTGGGCCGGCCGTGGGGGCCATACTCCCGCGTCGTCTTCGCGCTCACCTACATGTCCTCCACCGTCAGGCCCCAAGGCTGGGACGACTGGGGCGACCCCTCCAATCAGCGGTAAATTCAACAACTTTGCGTCCCTGCGTCCCTAGTCTCTACCCTGCTCTGCTTCAAATTCTCACGTGATGCTCGTACTGAATTTCTGGTTGATCACGAGGGTTTGGGCTGCGCAGGACGGCGTTCTATGGGCAGTACCAGTGCTACGGCGACGGATCGAAGACCGACGGCAGGGTTGCCTGGTCTCACGACCTGACGCAGGCCGAGGCGGCGCCGTTCATCACCAAGGCTTGGGTTGATGGGCAGCAATGGCTTCGGTAGTTAGGGAATTTAACCAGAGTGGCAGTCTCATGGAGAAGAACATATATGGAAGTGCTCCTAATTAAGTACCTAGGAGATTATATGTTTCCGAAAATTCTATACGTTCCCAACAGTTTAGGTTGATTTCATTCTGTGATCTGATCATAGATAGAACTGATCATCTATATATATACATGTAGAAAGTAAAAATATGAATCATTATCGATGTATGCAGGAAAGTGATCGTCATCAATTTGCAGTTGCATGTACGGAATTGGCGAGCGAGGAATGTTCGGTTTCGGTGTTCTGACCTTCGACGTCAGTGCGTACGGAACCCATTCAGCTAGTGACACCACGACTAATAATCCTGTAGTTAGTAGATTCTGCCATTAAGCTGGCGACATCAGTATTGATAAACTTGTGTTGTTTTGGTTCGACTCTTTCGCTATGAAGTCAATCTCTACTAGCAGTAATTAATTAATGTGCGCTCACTGTTTGTATCCTGTTCTCTCGCTAGCCAAAGCAGCTCACTGCATCTGTCATCTGTATCCGTATCCATTGTGATGCTTCACCAACTGTAACCGCGGCCACCTAGTCCGATCCTCTTCTGTCTCTTCGGAACACCGCCTCCTCTTCTAAGTGACTCAAAGTTGTATGCTTCTGTAAGCACTAACTAGCTAGTACTAGTAAACAATTAACTCTGCCCTCTTCTCTTCACCTCCAAGACAAGGCCTGCATTTGGCTACACATCGCTTGCGTTGCCGTTCTTCAGAGGAAGCGCATTCCGTGGTACGCATTCCATGCCAAAAAATTAATACCCACACACCTGTTTACTTCAGTGTAAAGTTACTCTGAAGAGACGACCATTGCTCACAACTGATTGTCTTGATCTGCATAGCTAGATTGTATGTCTGCGTGCACGCATACATTGCACCATTTCGTTTGGAGTAGCAAATTAAGATTTTCAGGTGCCAGCGATAGTAACCGGTCAGTGTCACCTATGGCCGGTACCATGAAGCATGCCCTGATCAAGTCGGACAAGCCTTTTTTTCCCCACCCAAAAGAACAGCTAAACAAACTACAAGTATACACCCCATGTTTTCCTTTATCTTTAAGCCAAAGACCACCCAGGTGTACATTCCAGGATCGATTAGGCCGCTGAACCGGTCGAACATACTCCTGTTAAAAATGCATTTCCTGAACCACATGAGAATTCGTTAGCTTCGACGCCGCCGTCGAGCACAAGCTCCATCGCCAGCTGCCGGCAGCCGGCGCGGCCTCGGTTCTTTCCTCCACTGATGTCGCCGTCGCAGCTCCCTTCACGCATCACCTGAACCCTGCGTTACTCTCCCGGTCATTCCAGTCTCGAGCACCGAGCCTCCCGATCGATCGATCACCACCAAAATATGCACCTCACCAACCGCCAGTCTCTAACTGCCTTGACAAAGCAATTTCCCAGTTCTTCCATACCATGTAGTCTCTGAACATTTAAAGCATTGATGCCGAACACCGACGAGCAAACAGACTGCTGGGTTCTTTCAGTATGGCCTCTGCTGCGTCCAGTCTCCCTCTGCTGGTTTCGTCTCTTCTGCTTGCCCTTTTCGCCCTCGGTGCACATGCCGATGTCAAGAGATACCAATTTGATGTGAGTTCCGTACACTAATCAATCATGTACAGCCGTTACATCATGTTTTGTTACATATGCTCATTTCCTTTTTTTTTTTGCATGCGTAAATATGCACGTAGATTGTGATGAGCAACGTGAGCAGATTGTGCCACGAGAAAGCCATGGTGACGGTGAACGGGAGCTACCCGGGGCCGACCATCTACGCGCGCGAAGGAGACCGGGTCATCGTCAACGTGACCAACCACGTGAAGCACAACATGACGATCCACTGGCACGGGCTGAAGCAGCGGCGGAACGGGTGGGCGGACGGGCCGGCGTACGTGACGCAGTGCCCGATCGGCAGCGGCGGGAGCTACGTGTACGACTTCAACGTGACGAGGCAGCGCGGCACGCTGTGGTGGCACGCGCACATCGCGTGGATGCGCGCCACCGTGCACGGCGCCATCGTCATCCTCCCCGCGGCCGGCGTCCCCTACCCGTTCCCCAAGCCCGACGACGAGGCCGAGATCGTCCTCGGCGAGTGGTGGCACGCGGACGTGGAGACTGTGGAGAGGCAGGGCAGCATGCTCGGCATGGCGCCCAACATGTCGGATGCGCACACCATCAACGGCAAGCCCGGCCCGCTCGTCCCGTTCTGCTCCGAGAAACGTGCGTGATTTCCGTGTGCTAGATTGCTCTCCGCTTTGAGTACATCGATCGTCGTTGTCGGCAATGGCTAGAACCGAGGGTGATTTTGTGTGCTGCAGATACCTACGCGTTGCAGGTGCAGAGCGGCAAGACGTACCTCCTCCGGATCATCAACGCTGCAGTCAACGACGAGCTCTTCTTCTCGATCGCCGGCCACAACATGACGGTGGTCGAGATCGACGCGACCTACACCAAGCCGTTCGCCGCGTCCACCGTCCAGCTCTCCCCGGGGCAGACCATGAACGTGCTCGTCAGTGCCGACCAGAGTCCCGGCCGGTACTTCATGGTCGCCAAGCCCTTCAACGACGTGCCCATCCCCGCCGACAACAAGACGGCCACCGCCATCCTCCAGTACGCCGGCGTCCCGACCTCCGTCGTCCCGGCGCTGCCCCAGACGATGCCGGCCACGAACAGCACCGGCTCCGTGGCCGCGTTCCACGACAAGCTGCGGAGCCTCAACTCGCCGCGGTACCCGGCTGACGTGCCGCTCGCCGTCGACCGGCACCTGCTCTACACCATCGGGCTCAACATCGACCCGTGCGAGACGTGCCTGAACAGGTCGCGCCTCGCGGCGTCGCTGAACAACATCACCTTCGTGATGCCGCGGACGGCGCTGCTGCAGGCGCACTACTACGGCCAGAAGGGCGTGTTCGCCGCCGACTTCCCGGACCGCCCGCCGGCGCGGTTCAACTACACGGGCGTGCCGCTCACCGCCGGCCTCGGCACGTCGCTCGGCACGAGGCTGAGCAAGATCGCGTACAACGCCACCGTGGAGCTGGTGCTGCAGGACACCAACCTCCTGTCCGTCGAGTCGCACCCGTTCCACCTCCACGGCTACAACTTCTTCGTCGTCGGGAGAGGCGTCGGCAACTTCGACCCGGCCAAGGACCCCGCCAAGTACAACCTCGTCGACCCGCCGGAGAGGAACACCGTCGGCGTGCCCGCCGGAGGCTGGACCGCGATCAGGTTCAGAGCAGACAACCCAGGTGAGATCCAGTTAGCATTTGTTTTTTTCGTTTCGAAAGTACAATGCTCGTTGTCAGTAACTTTCTTAGCTAGAATTGTGAGTTCACGTTTATTACTCTGTTTTCTTTAGGTGTTTGGTTCTTGCATTGCCACCTTGAGGTGCACACGAGCTGGGGCTTAAAAATGGCGTTTTTAGTGGAGGACGGGAGCGGTCCTGATGAGTCGGTTTTGCCACCGCCCAAGGATCTGCCCAAGTGCTGAAGAGATTAGTGATTACACTACACAAATCGCACTGCAAATACCCGTGTTTGTTACTGTATTCTGTTCGGAGTCTGAAAGGTGCGAGGAACCCTTTTTGCATAAAGTGTGCAGGAAGGGTGATTTGTTCAATACAACCATAATTTGTGTACTCCGTATTTTGATGCAAGAGCCTAATTACTAATGTGACTTGTTTGGCTGAAACTCAGCTAGAGCAGGTTCTTTGTTATACTCTGATATCCTCGTTATACAGCACCAACTCCATTATCGAAAGGATAATGTTTTAGCTATCGATATAGTCTACAATCCACATGTAGTAGTAGTAGTATTTCAACCAATATATTTATATAAAAAAGTATAAATACACAAAAAGAGTTTTTATGAAAAATCCCCTAATATAATTGTCATAATTTTCATGACAATTTTGATATTTTTAATGTTTTGACTGGACGTATTTTATTATCCTTTTGATTACCGAGTTACTCCCTCGTTTTAAACTACTTGGTGCTCTTGTTCTAAGACAATCATTACCATTAATTTTTAAAAATATGTGTAGTTTAACAAAATGTGAATTATATATTATGAAAATATTTTTTATGGTGAATCAAAAAACATAAATATCATGATATTAAACTATATGGGTTTATGAAAAATGATGGTCAAATATTAAAATGTTTGAATTATGGTAAAAATAAAACGACTAGTAATTTTAAATGGAGGAAGTATATATATATATATACAAGAATTGTTGACTGGACTGTCACATAGGACTAAAACCGCTTGCAAAGCTGCTCGGAGGAGGGGGGGTCAATCCGGTATTGATAGTTGAGGATGAAAAATGGTTGTTTTTTGGTTTAGGGGGTAATTCGTACTCACCTAATAATTTAGGGGCGTAATTCATACTTTTTACTTACTATTATAAACAAAACAAAGCCATTTTAGCTACTTTCTTTTTTTTATAAGTTTAAAATAGGGGGGCTAAAACACTTTTTTTCTAACTTCTATTCTGATGATTAGCTAAACAAACCTCTAGTTTTTTTTTTCATGGAGATCTTTTTCATCCTTTTGAAATAGCATTGTTCAGCACAACAAACTGCACCTTCACTCCTGTGAGTGTAATACTTGTGTTATGAAGTATGAACGCATCATCTTAAACCTACATCAAATCTAGCCCATATAACACTAAGCGCAACTCTGTCAAGCCCACTGGGGCATGGGCTAATCATATTTGACGTAAGCTCCACCCAATCTTGAGAGGGAAGGAAGGCCTCTTCGTTCTTCTACCGGACAGAACGAACGGCTCGGCATACGTAGCATACGTAGCTACTGGCTGATTGGCTGTGTTACTGTTAGGCTCACGTGCAGTGGCATGAGAAACGTACTAGCGATTTGGAGTTTTCAAGCGATCACCGACATTGCAACTTTTGTAGTCACACGGAGGGCACTCCATGACAAGCAGCAGTCATGGGTGAGTCTTTCTCTTGGGATCTTAATTTTCTTTTAGATCAGTTGATCAAGTACCCCAATGGTAATCTATACATATCCGTCCAATACACTGTATAGATCTTGGTTGGACATAGTGGCGAACCTAAAATAATTATCGATCATCCAATACATATTAACTATCTAATTATTAATTTATATACTAACTAATATGATATAATTAAGTAAGAATTGATAATTTACCCGGATCCATGACCCCAGTAAAGTTGTATATGAGATCGTCACTGGTTGGGGATCTTTTTTCTCTAAAGTCATGGCTTATAAACTAAAAACACGTGGCCGAATAATATAGTTTTGGTAATACATTTATATTTGTACTCTTCACAGTCCAAAAGCCAATATTATGTCACAAAAGTGAAAAAGAAACCTTCAAATTGATTGTGAAACTTAGTTATAAGATTTTAAATTGGTTGCGACTTGCAAGCCTAGCATTGTCTCTTAATAGAACAATGTTTATGGGCCTACTTGGTGGAGCTTCTGGCAGCTACAACTTTTTTCCCAAACAGTCTAAATTTTCATTCAGATTTTAAGAACATGTAGTTGTAGAATACAGAAAATAAACTAGAAACTAGAAGTTGAAAAACCTAACTTTTTAAATTTTTAAGCTCATCCAAACAGGATCTATATATGTTTCTCTCGTGAAGATCAAAGTCCAACATCAGTACTCACATGTTGGCTACATCCCAACGCTCAAGGTACTACACTTTATGCTTTTCATCTCAAGTTCTCAACAAGACAACAACTCGAGCCCGACGAGCCGTGCCCGTACTAGCTAGCTTGAGGACGTGTCAGCGTCATCCAGCCATGCCGGTATGGTGTTACGGGGGGCATATCGCATCTACCACACTTTGGTGATTGAGACTGGTATATAAGTGGTTGGACTTGGATTGACACCAACTAGAGTTAATTTCGGAGAAAATGTACGATGGGACAATGATGGAACATACATGAACACCGGCCAAACACAAATAAAAAATCATTAATTTGCGCGAAAGGGAGAATAATTAGATGGTCCACAGGAGCATCAACATCTGCAAGGCATTGGTAGCAAATCCTTCCGGTGAGTGATGCTGAAAAGACAATATTAAATTAATCAAATTATTGCTTTCATGCACTGCATACATCCACGTACGGTACTGGAAATTAAATTCCACGCTAATGTTAGATCAGTTTCTACTAGAGAATGACAAAAAATGGGGGTGGTTAAATATGCTAAATAAGTACTACTAGCTTGAACAGATGGAAACATATCATGTGCACATAAGTTTAGTGCACACTCAATACACACCCACTAACAAATATCAACAAAAAAAAAGAAAAAAATGTATATATACTTTTAATAAGGTTTGTTGTAGTCCATCATGTGGCAACTCCAGGTACTGTTACTACCGCCATGTACGAAATGAGATCCAACCGTTCAGTCAACAAGGGCACGATTGGAAAAGATGTGAAACAACACTGGAGACTGGAGAGGGTTTGCGATGAACAACACGCCTGTCTATCAACGCCGCAATCTCCTTGCCCTCACTCAGTGCAATCTCCTCCCATGTCGTCAAATCCTCGATCTGATGTTGCCTCGTCCGACGTCAAGCACATCGAAACCAAACGCCGCCGAATCCTAGCACTAGTAGAAAAATCATTTGTTGCCACGAAAAAATCGTGGCATCAATACTAAAATTGTAGCAATAAATACATATTGCCACAATTTTAAAATTATTGCTAGCCGTAGTAATAAATAGTATGATAATAGGTTATTACAACGATTTTTATTTAGTGGTAATAAATTTAGATGTTGTCACGAAATGGATGTGGCAAAAAATCATATTGCAACACTTGACATCGTTGTAATAAAAATTATTGCCACCACTCCATATGTGGCATTAGTTTTACGTACCAAATTAAAAGTTCAAATATTAATCTATCATCCTATCTATTTATATTTATTTCTTTATACCATGTCTTGGCTAGGATTCGAACCCAAGACCTATGCTTCACGCATGATTTCCTTTACCAACTCATCTACGCATCAATTCTGTTGGAATATGCATATCGTTCCATTTGAGCCTACCTAACTAAGATTTGAATATCTAAAAGATTTTAAATAAAAAAGTTATCAACTATAAAATTATAGATCTCGTCGAGAGCTACAATTTCCATATAAAATTTGTCTCAATCCGTATCCATATGAAAAAATTAAGTAAAATTATGAGATGACAATTTTTTTTATTGCAACGAATTTATTGATCGTGGAAAAAAAAAAGTAAAAAGTACCATGTATTATGTAAATTGCCACAAAAATTAAAATTGTGGCTATAGAACATGATTTTTGCAACAGCAAGATTTTCATGGCGATATCTCATTTTCTATTGCAACAAAAGTACTAAATAAAACAACGATTGTAGATCATTGCAATAAAATATAATTATTTGCCACAGAAAAATTATCATTGTAATAGTACAATATATTGCTACGAAATATTTTTTGTTGTAATAATTTGGTGGCAATAGCTCAATTATCTTGTAGTGTAGATCTGAAGCTACTCCCTTCGGCGCAGAAAAAACTACTCCCTCCATCCCATAATATAAGGGATTTTGGAGGGATGTAATATATCTAGGACTACGTATCTGGACTATGTATCTCTATATCCAGATACATAGTTATAGGATGTGTCACATCCCTCCAAAATTCCTTATATTATGGGACGGAGGGAGTACGTAGCACAAAGCCCATTTCGTAGTGTTTCCTCGACACTCGCTACCGCCTCCTTGCTTCGATGAGATAGTTTGAAATTGGTTGAGTGTAAATGGTCAGGACAGTGACAAGATGCCATGTCTGAAAGAATTTTTGTTTTGGATGAGAGAATATGCATATCGGGGATCTACAAGAAAAAAAGAGAGTTTCCTGTGTTTTTGTAAAGGTGAGAGAAAAAAAGAAAGAAAGAAATGTTGGATAAAAAAAAGAAGAGATTTTCTCCGGTCGAACAAAAAATATCTTGAGGTTTAGGGTTTAGGGTTTAGGGAGTTCACGGTAACAAAAAGTATCTCACGGTACCAAAGAGATTTTCCCCAGTTTGTAACTCCATATTCTCCTGGTTTTACAACCGAGAGTACGAATATAGGATTAAATATGGATATCTTTAGTCCCGGGTGAAATAACCGGGACTAAAAATCCATCTTTCCAACCGGGACTAAAGATGGCAGCGCCAATCCCGATTGATCACCATTTTTTCTTTTTTTTATTGTTTCTTTCCAAATCGAGTTGCTCCTTCCCAAATCAAGTTGCTCCCTACATATCCCCAATCATATCCCCAAATCACAATCAAAGTATCATCACAAATCAATGAATCATAGATTCACATCACAAATTCTCAAAAATAAAATACATCTCAAATTCTAAAAAAAATACATCATAAATCACATACATCACAGATCCAATGAAACACAACTTCTAAAAATTCTCAGATCCAAAGAATCACAACTTCTAAAAATTCTCAGACCTAATAAATCACAACTTCTAAAAAAAAAGAACAACAAAATATTGCCGCTGCTGCCTCCTACCTCCCCTTTGGCAGAGGGGGGGCGCCGCTGGCTCCCACCACCCTCCCATCCGCCCGCCGCCCACGCCTGGGCTCGGCCGCCTGGAGAGGAGGCGGCGGGGAGGGGGAGGAGAGGGGAAGGGGGAGGAAGGGAAGAGAAAAGGGTATGTGGAGGCTAAGATGAGGTTAGC